ACAAAATTTGAATATGATAAGGAGAAAAGCATCAGAGCAAAAATCATGAACCCCTAATTTGTGGAGAGCTGTGGGGGAGGGGGGATGGCCAAACCCATGTGGACTGAGTCACTGGCAGACCTGCTCTAGCCAAAGGCAAGCGTCTCCAATAGTCTTACTAGTAGGCAGAGACCACTGTAATCCTGATCATGCTGGATCGACCTTGATACTTGGCCAGTTGACCACCAGATGTGACATCGATTTGTTCTGGGTGCAAGTATCTCTTGCTGGTTTCATGACAGAAATTTCTTCCCTGGCTTTTTGAATGTTGTTGGCAGTCTTTTCCTTCTTATGCATAATACTGTCTTTGTATACTGTGTTTTTATCCTTACCACCTTAGCACGATTTTGTTTTTTATTCTTTTCTGTTGGGTCTCCCAGCTGTGTAGCACAGGAGGAGTGGATGCATAATGAGAATAACTGATACAAGGGGCTACAGGGAATACCGGGGGTGGGGGTGGGAAACTAAGAACAGGGAAGAGAGTGCATGCGGACAAATTCTCTATGCTCATATTTGTTGTTCGGGACACAGACTTTGACGGCTCCTGAAGGCCTTCACACTTGTGAGTTGGAGCTATATTCCAGTCACATTCTCCTAAGTAAAAGTTACTCTCCACAACGTCCACCCATAATAATGTTAGGTAGCCGGATAGGGAGTTGTCCCGCTCTATGCCAAAGCGCCCCATAGGAGGTTGCTGCAGAGAACCAGGCGAGCCCAGTCAACCGTAAAGGCTAGAAGTCATGCTTACATTATGGCCGGAGCCAGGTGGGTGGTACAACTAGGTGGGCCCCAATCTAGGCCAAATGGCCTCAATCAAGCAAATGGGGTCAACCAGTACCTTTGACCTTGCCTCCAGGCGGAGGGCCCTGAAAAAGCCAGAAACTCTGAGACCACCGAACTCTTTCCAGCTGCTCCTTGGCTGGATTGTGGGTTTCTCTGGCCTCAGTTCTCCACGTGTGGATGTGAAGTGCCCTGAGGGTCCCTGTGTAAAACCTGACACTTCTATCCTTTATACAAACTCACTTGGATCACAAACCAAGCTTCAGCGTGAATTCTTTCTCATGGGAAGCCAAGGACCGAGCTATTTCCACCGGAGAAACCTAACACATGCCAATTTTAAGGTGCTACTGGCAAGCACATGGTTGCTCACTGTACCCTTGAAGGTTATCTACTTGAAGGCTCTTACCTGATGATTGTCTGCCATCAGACCATTCCACCCTAAGGAGAGCCCACTCCCTTCTGATAAGGACCATAGATTGTTCCCCTGGAGAAGAGCTCAGGACACTTAGGGTCAAGCCAGCTCAGAGGCAACCAAGGGTAGGCCACCACCTTAACTCTAGAACCCACCCATCTTGTTATGTACGTACCTTCTGGTTTTGTGTATATCCCTAGCTGTCCAACTTCCTGTTACATGTATGCCTCTAATACAACCCCTTCCTGTTACATATGTGTATGACATGGCTTGCATGCCCAAGATTATATGTTTGTAAGAGAGGATGTTCCGTCCGCCTATCTCTGGTTCTGGTCATCCTTGCCTGCCTTGTCTTGCTATTTAATTTAACCTGCAATTACACAACCACTCCATAGGACCCATTCGGTTGTTGAGGCTGGTCCCCCACATGGAGATGAGGGGGAGGGGGAGGGGCTTTCTGGAGTAAGTAATGAAGACGGGATTGGAGAGGGAGCACCAGAAGGGATTGTGATTACATAACTCCTTTAGAGGCCATTTAACCATGGGAGGAGTATTGTAAATGCATGGAGACGCAGAGGAATGAGAAGCACACGGAATGAATCTGTCAAAAAGCAGAGGGCTACAGCTCGCTCAGGCGTGTAGCAGGGAACTGAGCTGTAACCTCCCTATTTATTCACGGTTAGGAATACGTGACTGGTTACATTTACTCAAACTGTTTTTAAGTCTAAAAAATGACTTTCTCAAAACTACATTATCTAAGAAAACAAGTCATCTGGTGCTGTAAAGATATAATCTATAAAGCAAAGAACAAGGACCAAACAAACTCCAGGAATCACACACACACATACAAGGAATATTTGCATCTCCTTGAGAATCCACATGATCTGTTTGCAGAACACGCTGACCCGAACGTACATCCTTAAAGCCTTGATTTGTGCCCACGTTCTAGCCATCTTCCGGCTACAGAGGGGAAATGCTCTAAAAATGATACGAGGGTGATTGTACAATTCTCCTTGATATGATAGGACTATTGAATTAGATGACATAAATTTCTTGCCGATAAAACTGCTGGGGGAAAAAAAAGAAAGTAAACTAAGCAAACGGCCTCAAACAATAAAGATGGCGAGGCTAGTGCAGGATTGAATATTGTTTCATTCCACTGTGCATAGTGTCTCTGTGAGTTAGAACTGATTCATGGGCCCCTAACAACAAAAGTATGTGCATAATCCTAATCAACAGCGTCAGCAAGCACGTGGAATTATCACCTCATTCCTGGGCTTAGAGCTCTTCTTCCCAGCCTGGAAATAAAATCAGGTGACAGTTCGGTAGGCCAAGTATTTCCAATTAAGTCATAATTTTAAAGGAAGTCTGGCTGGAATGAAGTGTGAAGTGACTTTGAGGGGATGCTGAATGACATGATGTTCCCCTTCATGGATTTTCCAGAGTTTTAATCAATTTTCCAGTACTGACAGTGGAAATTGCAACTTAAATACATTAAATTATTATACTGTGATCATTAGACCTTCCCCCAGGATTAGCACCTGTGGATAGGCTGTAATGTGTTTGGAAAAAGAAGTGTGAGTATTGAAAGTCTCTTAGCACTGGACTAGCTGTTTTGTATCCATTGCCTATTTTAACTAGTGTGAAATTACAAAACGGAAGTGCTCTTCCTCAAAAAACTGATCTCTATGGATTAATAATTACCTACAGGCATAGCAGTGGAGGTTGGGGAGAGCTGGGGAGCTAAAAATAATGAGTATGAGAAAAAAGAAAATGTGCTGAAATAGATTGTAGTGATGATTGCACGGCTCTTAATATGATTGAACTATTAAATTGTATGATATAGGGACAACAGAAAATTGGGTGGAGACGTTGGACAGTGTAAGACATGACAAAACAGTAATAATTTATAAATTATCAAGGGTTCATGAGGGAGGGAGGAGCGGGGAGGGAGGGGGAAAATGAACTGATACCAAGGGCTCAAGTAGAAAGCAAATGCTTTGAGAATGATGATGGCAACAAATGTGCAAATGTGCTTGACACAATGGATGTATGTATGGATTGTGATAAAGAGTTGTACAAGCCCCCAGTAAAATGATTAAAAAAGGAAAACCACAAAAAGAATATCAAAACTGTCCAACATGGAAAAAAATTGTATGATATGTGAATTATGTGTAAAATGCCTCATCTTTCTCACTTTTTTCCATTTTTTGTTTTCTTTTTGTTTGGTCTATGTCCTTGTTGGTTTGCCTACTTATATAAGATAGGCATGGGAAGCAAGCTCAAGGAGAAAGCAACTGAGCAGAGGAACTTGAGGGGAGAAGGTGGAGGTGGGAAGGAGCAGTGAGCAAACAATGCCGTACACAGGGGAACAACTAGGGAATTAAAATCAATAATGCGGATGTACAGATCCTGGGGCGGGTTGGTGCAACAGAAATCTAGCTGAGAGGAAGTACTAAGAGGCAGAAGAAGGGCGAATGTGATGGTGGGACAGGAGGAAGGTAAAAGAAAACAGAGGAAAGATCTAGGAAGCAAAGCTATGGTTAGAGGTATAAGAATGGGTGTGTACATATGTCAATACATTGATTCATAAAAAGAGGCATTGGCCTATGTGCATACATTTATATGGCAATACACTGAGGTAGTGGACAGACTTTGGGTCTCTGCTCATACCCTCCCTCAATACAAGAACACTTTGTTCTAACAAATTGGCAATCTGAGATGCTCACCCTCCCGGTACAATCGCTGAAGACAATAAGCAACAACAAAGTAAAACAGAGAAAGCCAAAAATATTAAAATCCAGAACACATTTAAAATGGGTCAAAAGGGAGATCAAATGGTGAGGTGCTCAATTCTAACCTAGCTGCATCTTCCACGATGCACTGTGCAGTGCCTTCTGCAAGGCTATTCACATCCCCGGTCTGTGGTCAGAGGCTTCACCGGAGCCTTCATCCACGTGTATTTATTTCCCTGCACTTCAAACTAAACAACTTTAAAATAGATCAAAAAGGAGATGAAATAAGAAGACATGAATTTTTAACCTAACGTTGTCTGCTGTAATTGACTTTACAACGCTACGTGATATCAAGGCTCTGGCCAGAGGAGGATTCATCGCAGACTCAGTCCAAGGTGTGGACCCTGTCGATGGATTTGGGGCTCCCACTATCATCTATAGCCTTCTGGAAAACAGGTGTTTACAATTTAAGCTCTGATACCATTTTCTCCTTTGGATTTTATTATTTACCATCCTTGGATCACACAGGCTCCTGTGCTTCTTCCCTGTGGATTTGGTTGACGCCTCACTTAGATGGCTGCTTGTATGAAATCAAAACTCTAAGATCAAGGCTGTACATCTTCCAACAGCAGAAAGCCCATCGTTCACCCTCTTCGTGACTGGTGGGTTCCAACCGTCCACTAGCAGCGGAGTAATTTAACCATTGCGCCATCGGAGCGCCCCCACTCTCTTAAACCCCCCCAAATCAAACTCACTGCCACTCAGATCACGTGATCATAAATTTGTATAGGCATAGGCAGCCTCTACTTTCTTCCGCAGAGCGGCGGCTGCTTTTGAACCACCGACTTTTCGGTTATCAGTCCACTGCATAGCCTATAGCGCCACTGTTCCAGCGGGCTTGCCAGGCCAACCAGCCGGCCGGCCGGCGAGGACTAGCCAATCATCCTCGGGGACCTAGTCCCCGCCCCGCGGAGTGAGTAGGCCGTCTGGGGTGAGCGGCCCGAGACGAGCCCCTTCCCGGGCACTTGCGGCATCCCGGCAGCGGGCTGGCTGGCGGCCGTCTCCTAGCCGCGGGGTTCTGAGAAGCAGGTGGGTGCTCTGTGTCCTGCGGGACAGGAGTAAATGGCAGCTCCCCATCACAGTCCCCCCATCCCGGATGGGGGTGAGCGTGGGACGCGCGGGGGAGCGCGTCGCGGGACGGACGTCTTTCCCAGTGGGTCGGGAAGACACTGCAGGCCCCGGAGGCGGATGTTGGGGCGGGGGTCGGCAGTCGGGGACTCCCGGGCAACCACTCGTGTCCAGAGCCATGGGGTGGCAGCGATTTCAGAAGGACTTGGAAGTGCCTCCCGGCCATTGCGGGTTGTCTGTCGCCGCGCTGCGCACGCTGGGCGCGGCCTGGACGCGCGTCTCTGGGGCTGTGGTGTACATAGAAACCGTTGCTAGGCGAGCGGGATGCCGTTTCCTTCCGGCCTCCGGCAGTAGGGGGCGCTCGCTGGGCGCGTGCACGCGGGAAAGAGCGTGCGTGGTGGGCGGGGCCTGCGTTCTTGCGTAAACAGCGTCTCCGACGCCCGCTCTCCGTTCTCCTTGCCAGGAATTTGCGTCGACTCGAGGACAGTGAGTTTGGCTTTTCGAGGTTTTAGTGAGGTATTGTCAATAAGTTGATTTTAGAGGAAATGAAATATGGGTTCATAAGATGAAAGATTTTCCTAATCGAACTACAAACAGATCTAGAAGACTTTTAAAGGGAGCAAATCAGTTGTACAACTTTATTTTTTGGAAGTTGAAAATGAACGTTTGTTTAAAAAAAAAAAAAGCCCTTACACTCACTGCCACCAAGTGGATTCTGACGTAGAGTGACCCGATAAGCCCTGGTAACACTGCCCCTGTGGGTCTCCACGCTGTAAATCTCTATGGGAACAGAAAGTATCATTCTCCCAAGGGTCAGCTAGTGGCTTCGAACTGCTGACCTGGGATTTAGTAGCCCAACATGTAGCCACATGCTACCAGCCGACATTGTAGGCTTGAAAATGTGTGCCCTACTGAAAACAAAGGATAAGGTGGGAATTTCTTCCCAGAGAAATGTTAAAACAGTGTTCAGAATGCAATTAATTAGTATAGGTCTTAAGAGGTGACTTTACAATGTCAAATTCCCCTCCCACTCTCCCTCCTTTCCGCCTCTCTCCCTTTCATCCTTTCTTTCCTTCAACTATATGGTTTAATGAGTATAAGTTGAGCTGCTACCCCATGGTTAGCATTTTGAGCCCACCAGCTGAACTGCTCCCCAGGAGAAAGATGAGGCTTTCTGCTCCCATAAAGATTTACAGCCTTGTACGCCCACAGGGGCAGTTCTACCCTGTCCTGCAGGTCCCTGTGAGTCAGAATTGACAACGGGGCTGTCAGGTGGGGATTGAGAAAGATGTGGCTGTCGGTTTCCATAAAAATCACAGCTTGCAAATTTTATGGAGGGCATTTCTACCCTGCCCCATTGGGTCACTATGAGTTGGAAGTTACTCAGTCATAGCCGGTTTAAGGTAGATGACAATCATTCAAAAACATTAAAAGGTAGCTCAACCCAAACCTATGCTGTATTCCAGCTTTCTTTAAGTGAAAGTTAAGCAAATGGCATATAGTAATTTAGCTCCATAAATGTTAACTGTTATCAGAGAGTTGTAAAAGAGTTTAGCCATCTTCCTCACTAGAATAAAAACCAAACACCTCACCTCGTGTGCTCTAGAAATGAAAAATAGTATTACAGAAGTACCTACTGTTTTCCAAAGTGAGCAATACCGCCCTCTGGTGGGGGTGCGAGAATGACAGAGCTGCAAAAGCAGATAAAGATTATCCTGGATTGTAGGCTATATAGTACAGTTTTTCATTGTCCAGGGGCTCTGAGTAAATTTTTTTATCTGAAAAAAGGGACAGTAGGCCAGATACATTTGGAAACCAATGATCTAGATGTTTACTGTTGTTCAAACTGAATATATATATATATAATTAACAGTTGTCCTGTACTGTTGACTATTTCAGCCATGACTGACCAAGATTGTCCGACGTTGTGGGGCTTTGGAACAACAAAAAAATTTAAAATTCCCATTGAGCATTTGGATTTCAAATACATTGAAAAGTGCTCGGATGTTAAGCAGTTGGAAAAAATTTACTGGGTGCTCAGGTGGGTGTTTAAAAAATGCTTCGTGTTTCAGTCATTGTCTGGTGGTTGCTGCCTTCTCAAAATTAAGAATCACGTGAAAATGTAGACAATTTTTACAATATCAAAGCTGTGCAGTTTGTTCTTTTCACCCTTTGGCTTTTCACCTATGGTTGGTTTTCAAA